TGCATAGAGAGATTTTTCTTAGCATTCTACTTGTTAGTTTAAACTTGTTTAGATTGGGGCAAGTAGACAGGGATGGCTTTATTCTTTAAAGTTATGCTTAATTTTCTCAATGAAGTACCATGTATTATACGAACAAATATCAAAACACATACTATACTCATCATTTATAAAGAAAGGCCAGCCTCCTGGGTTTTCTACAAATTTTCAACCACCTCGTTATGCAACACCTCTGATTCCTCTTTCTTTTCAATGATATCTTTGTGAATAGATATTCTACACAAAGAGCTAAGCCGACCTTGACCCATTCTATTTCTTAAATAGCTTTTACCCTTTTAAGCAAGAAAACGACCTCTCTACTGAAGCACTTGCCACTGCCAACACACCATTCAATTTTAACAAATTTACCACTTGACCTAAACTCGACTGGAGATTAAATTTGAAGATGTATTTAAGAACCTCATTACTGCACTCTTTGTGAAAGTCCTTGTCGTTGTAAATGAAGGAAAGTTGACTCTCCAAAGTTTGGATGTCAAAAGAGGACTATACTTATCTTTGAGAAGATTGATCTTCTCCTGTGGAACTATGCCCTTCCATGTAGTAAATAGTTTAGGATTTACAAGGTCTAAAAACTCGAACTGATTAATATCTTGAAATCGTTCACTTAACATGCCTTTAATGGAATCAATAATCTCAAAATAAAGCTGTTTGTAATTGTATCTACTATCTGCTCTGGTTGCTGGTGGGCCTACTTTTCTAGTGCAGTTTGGTAAAACTCGGTGAAAGCTTGATCTGTGCGAAGTGACACAATAAACTGCTTGAAATTGTCAATCTTGCTTATGCCATAGTTAAAATGGGTTTCCCTATTTTGAAGAATGGAATACAAAATTGTGGACTGTTCTAAAATCCTGTAAAAACACACACTAGAAAACAAAAGAAAGCTATCAAGATAATGCAGTAAGCCACTTATTTTACTTAATGACTCATCATCCCACCCAGCTGGTTGTTCAAGTACCCCTCAAAAATATCTAAAAGTTTTTCATAGTTTTGTGCAATACATTGATTAATCTAGAGCGATAATACCATCTTGTTTCACCAGGGCAGGAAACTCAAGGTTGTTAGATGTGAGAAAAGCTTTTCTTTTGGGGCATTGCTTGTAAATGTGCTGAATGTAGCTATATTAATAAAAAGATTTTAACAGGAGAAATTGATGAGGCTGACTGGCATAGGACCAGGTTCAATCTATGAGCTGCACAATGAACAAAATGAGCAAAAGGATACTCTTGTCGAACCAATGCTTGAACACCATTGATATGGCCAGACATGACAGAAGCACCATCATATGTTTGTAAAACCAGTTTTCTTTTATATTAGAATACTCACCAAGTTTATCTTTGACAACTTGTGATATTGCTGTGGCATTTCTGTTCATACTTACATCCACAAATCCTAATTGCCTCTCCATAATTTCACTTGCTTTGTCAAACCGAGCAATAACACTTAGCTGCTCTTTGGTGGAGACATCAGATGCTTCATCAACCTGAATACTCATAAATGTGCAATCATTTATTTCCTTTCTGATTTCATCTTCAATAATTGAATCAAGACAGCTGATAAGACCATTTTGAATTTCTGGGAGACTCCAGTAAATCTTCTGTCACCAACTATATCAGATTCTGCTAGTCTACTGTGCAGTCGACGCTCAAATACAGAATCAAACTTAGCAAAACATTCGAGCAACTCTCTATAATTACCTTTGTTCAAGCTACCTTCGGACTCATTGTGACCTCTAAATGGCAACTCTTGCTTTGACAAATACAGCACGGCCTCAGTAACAGTTTTAAAATTTCTCGATTTTGTCTTACCTCCTCATTGTGACGCTGAATCTCATTTCTTCTAGCGAGGGACATAAGACAATCAATTCGTTCACTAGCTCCATACGTTTTCCATGTCTTAAATGCAGTCAAATGCGATTTAGATTTTCATGCTTCTTAGCATCAGACATAATACTCCGCATATCGTTGTAGCCATTCTTAGTCCACGATGGCGATGTTTTGGGGAAAACATTAGACATGGCCAACAAAACACTTTCTGCAAGGTTGTACTGCCACACAGCCAGTCCTTCGCCTCATACCAATCTCTCTGAAATGCTCTTCCCTTATTTTGGATAGTTAAATCAGGAGTAGGCCGTTCATGAACGATAACATTCTGTTCGACCGACGATCGAGCAGAGAACGGTTTAGCTAATAAGCTATTTACTAAATCAACATCAGTTGAGCAAATCGCAGTCGCACTTGAAGCCATTGTGTCATACACAAATACAAAATAGCAATTTGAGAGTAAACACAATGGAAAATTAATACCGACAATGACACGTAATTTGATAATCACTAATCGCTGTACTCGTATTAAAAGGTCGAATAATTACAACCTCCGCCAATTTAAAATAGCGGGAGTTCGACTATAAAACAGCAGATTTGAGCATGCGTCAAGTCCCTTAGCCAACCAGAATTCAAAACTTCTTATATAGAATTATATTGTATGTTCCGCCCTCTGAAGATGGGCGGAATACGTGGAGAATCGCGCGAGTATGCAATGTGCGAGAAAAGGCGGTTGCTAGGTTACATAACAAATCTTGAGATTTTGCTGTATTACGATTACGAACCACCTAATAAAAGCGTAAATATGAACAAATAAAACATAATATTACAAATTGTTCGTGAAATAATGTATATCTTATGTCCAAATAGAATATTTATTATTTTTTTGGGAAATTTCTACTCCCGCCGGGCGGGAGTAGCGGGACCGCTAGCTACGCCACTGTAAGTAAGTATGTGTTTTTTTTTAGTTTTTTTGGTAGGATTGATTCTGGGTGTCTTATAAGGTATTATGATATTCTGATAAATCTACTGAGAACTTATGAGGAAAATGTCTTGAACTAGGAGAGCAAAAGAACGAAATTCAGAAATTCTATAATCATGTTTCTGGTTCTGTTTTGAGCCAAGATATTAGAAACTGGATTGTTATTGACAACCATGGATCTACTACTGAACAAAACTACATTAAAGTTCTGAAAATACTATTTCTTAAATTAAAGTGCATTGGTTTCTCTGACATGACACTTTTCTTATTGCTACATGAAAGTAAACCTGTTTAAATAATTATAAAGTAGGTGAAGATAGTTAGAAATGTTGTAAATTACACTCAACATTCTTAACTACGTTGTTATGAAGTATTAACTATGTTTAAGGTTACATCGTGGGCGCATGCGTACGTTCGCACGATATTCGTTGGGTTTTTTTCTTTTATCGTAATAAAAAACTTACTTTTATGTTCAAAGTGTTTTCTCTGCTGAAATATATCGTAAAACGAACAAGCATGTTGTAGAATTGTTATTGTACAGACATTATTTATAATATTATGGCCTTGTGTAATGTATGTCAAGAACTTATTAATTCTCAAAAATGCCAACCTTCTTGCACTACTTTTCTCTTGTGTCCTTACAAATTACAGTTACCTATACTTATTTTTTCTAGGTTCAAACAACTTGACAAACTTTTGAATTTTACATTATGCCTTTGAATTTTTCTTTTTGTCTTTTGGTAAAAATATCATTGAATGACTTATAAATTAAGTTTATCTAAAATCGTATTTTGTACAAAGAAACTATAAATACTTGGAAAAGTCTCATGTTCAAGACAGATGTCGCTTCTCTTACTATTCTCATTCTTTTGAATAATATTGTAATTCTCCAAAAGACATAAAAAGTTCTTTGCTATCGATGTGAATTTTTAATCACCTGGAATTGAAAAATATATGGATTTTGACTGATGATGCACAACTGTATTTAACGTTTCATGCATGTCATCACAAGCTTTTCTTGAGCAAACGTTTCAAGGTAGGAGCAAAATATGGCACATTATTGAACAAAGTAGTTTTTACTTTGATTTTGATGTACTAACCTGTTTACTAAATTGTATAACATACGATTCATTTACAGAGACACCAGATGGCATTTAAAACTTTTAGCATAAACAAACCTTCACACACCATCATCATGATTGTCCATAATCTGTCAAATTGTCCAGGCTATCTGTTTAATACTGGTATTTTTTATTGTACGACATGTACCAAAGAGTTCATTAATTATTCCTGCACTGCATTTGCTTTCAATACAGCTCTTTCCTTAAAACTTGCTTCATATTTTCAGAAAAATATCATGAAAAAATCCTCCATTTCAACTCAGTTGAAACAAGGAGTTTTAAGATATGCATATCTCGATAAAAAATGGTTGCTTTGTCTCGTCTAGCAACCGATTAAGTAAAGAAAAAATAAGACTGGAGAAACATAACTTAAATTATAACTTAGGAGTAAAACAATTCATAAAATATATACCATCACACTTCAAGTATTGACTTAAAACAGGAGTCTCCAAACTACGGCCCGCGGGCCAGATGCGGCCCATTTGTTCTCTCAATCCGGCCCGCAGAGACACTTAAGGAAAAAAAATATTATTAAACAAAATAAACTTTGTGCAAAAAGTTTACGTTATGACGTAAGCCAACTTGCAAGAGTGGCTTACGTCAAATTTTGTCCCAAATTCCTACTTCCGTTTCAAGCACATTGCGAAATTTAAAAAGCTGAAGGATAACTTGGAAATTTTTTATATTTCAATGCTTCATAATGAAAGTTCATTTGGCCCTCCAGCTGTAAAGTTTGGAGACCCCTGACTTAAAACAAAACACTGAACACTTTAAATAGTAAACAATCTTACGTTCCTTACGGTTGTCATGAAATGTTTCCTTTTCTGGGATTTTTTCAGCATCCGTATACCAAACAAGTTTGCAGCATGTTTTAAAGATAAAAATTTTCTAAAAGTTTTTGTGCTCGGCATTGATATTTGATATAATCGCCATTGTGGTTGTCAAATCCGGTGTCACAGTGATATGGGTATCCCCGTGTTTTGGGTATCCCCGTACTTAAATCACTAGTGTTTGGGGCATCCCCCGTGAGGATACCCAAAACACTAAGACCATGGCATATGGCCGAAATAAATTAAGACCATGTAGCTTGAAACGAAAATTGGTATTTCTAAAAAGGACATGTATGGAAGTAATGACCAGACATTATAAAGGTGAGATGAGCAGCTATTGCTAGCTAAAATATTATGTCTTTATTGGTATTTCATGGCATCTTGTTTGAATTACGTATGAAATGCTTCATAGATACCGTTGACATAAAAATTTGTTGTTGTGATTTCCATTTTTTTTTCATTCTGTATTGCGAAGTACATTGAACGTATACTTTTGAATAGACTTGTAATTTAACAGTTTTAGATTGTCTTGAGTTCATTCAAACATAAAATGATTTATTAAGAACTGGGTAGTGTCAAAAACTGTCAACAAGTACGCACATTTGTAACAATATCTTTTCTTGTGATATAATCAGACTTTTTTACCCCTCGAAGAATACAACATAACAAATGTTAAAACAAATTGCAATATAGTTAAAAGTACTAATAATTCAGAAGAAGAATCGACTTTCATTATCAGTCACATAACACACACTTAACCTGTTTTTAATTCTTTTGACCACAATGTGGAATACATTTCCATTTTATTTCTGCTTTTTTAAAAAATAGTTCTGGGACATCAAGGCAGTGTTTATGAAACCAGCTCTGACAACTGACACATTCAACCATGTCATCTTCCTCCCTGACATATGGAAGGCGACATGTACAGTAAATTGGTATAAGAATCTTGTGTGATGTTTGTTCAGGGCTTGACATTCTTGGTACAGATGGAAACATATGCATTTTGCCTTTAGTAAAACAATTCCACAAGTGACTTCGGATATTCCTCCTTTTGAAAGTTATCTTGCTGGGATCCTGTCCATGACACAATAATGTTCAAAAGCAATGGCAAATATACCACAGTCATATCCATTTGTCTGTTGGGTGACTGGCTCAATTGAGATTTCGATTACATTTTCTTACTGAAGGTATAACAGACTAGCAATTTGCTTTTTAATTGTGTTACTAATTCCTGAGTACACACTGTCATAGAGTTTAACAGCATTATTTTGTTTATAATGAATGTTACAAATGCACATCCAGTGATTTGCACCAGTGTGAAGAGCTTAAATGAATTTACCTTTAATGACATCAAACTGTTGCCCATACCTAATGTTGTTGCTTGGAGGCCTTCCATGCTTGGGAATTGTTGCTTCAACAAATTTTGGGCCTTGCCAATGTGAATGTCTGTAAGCAGACCATTTTTGATAATGACGTCTTCATCATTTTCATTTAATTGATAATTTGGTGTCTTCATCTTGCTTAGTAAACTCACATCCGACTTCCTTTCCTTCACAATCTTGCACTCGTCTTCTTCACATGGCTGCTTCCTTGTATGATCATGCTTGAATTTCTTTGATGGTATGCTTGTTTTTGTTGGTTAGCATCTCTTGTTTTATAGCTTTTCCCAGTTCTTTTGAAGTTACTGTACATGATATTGTCCTCCAAATTCTAGGTAGCTTTTAGCTTCACAATAAGTCAATTTTAAAATGGCCTGACTGAGAAGTGTATGAGCTTCAGGGAAGATGGAAACCTCCAAGAAGTTTACTTACAATAAGGTCAGATTGCTTCTCAGTAAATCCTCCAAAAAAGACATTTACTGATAGGTCTCTTTTTTAGGTTTGGAGCACTCTTGCTGAAACCTGATTTGAAAACTTCACAACGCCAGCATTCTTCTTCGCATTCTAATTTGTTTATTAAATCATTCTTAATGCATGAAAGGTGTAATAGAAGGGCACTTTTTTCCATACTTTTTATTTTTTCATCAAATTTTTTGTAGGCCTGTTTGCTCAAAGACATTGATTCTTGGTTGTTTACGTCTGCTGTTTTTTTTGTGCTTCTTTCTTTCATCTTTCCTTCCATCATTCCTTCTTCTATCATCCTTTCTTCTATTATCTCTCCTTCTATCATCTCTTCCTCTATCATCTTTTTTTCTTTCTTGTTTTCTTCTGTGCTTGCTTTTTTCTTTTTCTCCTCTATTACATTTTCTTCTTTCTTGTCTTCCATCCTCTTTCCTTCCTTCTTCTTTTCTTCTGTTATTTTTTCTTCTATTTTCTTTTCTTCAATTAAATTTTCTTTCACTGTTTCTTCTTTTTTCTTTTCTTCTTTCTTCCCTTCGTCAATCATTTTTCCTGCTATCTTCTCTTGTTCTGTGCTCTTGTCTTCTTTCTTCTTTTTTTTAATACATTTTGTTCTTTCTTCACCTCTTCTGTGCTTTTTTCTTCATCCTTTATTTCTTCAACTATATCCAGTTTTTCTTCATCAAACTGTTCCAGTTTTTTTTCCCATTCTCTTACCTTTTTTGTCAGTTTTGCTTCTGTTTTTTCAACCTTTGTGTAATTTTCTTCTACCTGTGCACAAACAGCAGAAGTTGTTTGGTTTGTGAGGATTTTATTGTTCTCCAGTTTGTAGAGCTTCAGGTTTTTAATTGATTGCTGTCTTCCTGCTTTGTTTGTCAATGGATTTAACAACGTGCAAACACCCCTATATACATCAGCCTCCATAACTTTATACGGGCCATTCCATTGATCTTCCAATTTATGCCCTTTCTTTGTTTTCTGTCGCATGTTATGAAGCAAGACAGTATCTCCATCCTTGAATTGGCATACATGTTTACACCTTTTTTTCTGATACTGTGCTTGTTATTTTTCCTGGGCTTTTTTGATGTTGGAGTCAACAATGGGGAATATGTTATCCCTCATTTGAGACATTTGCTCGACATGTTTTTCTATGGCTACTTCACTGTTCACATCCTGCAACAGCTCTGCAATGTCATTTTCCACAGTGAGGTCTGTCTCACATTTCTCAGCTTCAAAAGGAAATCTTGGATTTCTTCCAAACATTAAATAGAATGGACTGTATTTAGTGTTAGCAGACTGATTTGTATTAATTGCAAAGATTGCTCCTTCTATATATTCATTCCATATGTCGGCTTTACTATCCATAACTTTCTCGAGAGTTCTTAATAAAAAAAATAACAGAGGAGATTGGTTTATAAGAATGCAAGTTTGCTTTTGTTTCTCGCAAAATTGTGTTGCTCCCGCTAAGTCAGGGGAAATCCTTTAATCCACAGTAGGGAAACCCCTGAAACAAGCGTAGGAATGGGAAAAAGTATAGGGAAACCCATATCACTAGTGATTTGTGAACCCTGCGTGGTCGGATGGGGATACCTAAAATACGGCAGCCATTTTTGCCGGGGATGCCCAAAACACTAGTGATTTAAGTACGGGGATACCAAAAACACGGGGATACCCATATCACTGTGACACCGCCTTCAGCTGGTCAAAGTCGAGTTCATTTTCGTAAAGGTGTTCAACTTCATCATTCAACTCAAAATTACGCCCGTTTGCTGCATTAATGAGCACGGTTTCGATGTTCATCAAATCAGAATATGTTTTTCCGTCGAAGCGCTCCTGTAGTGAAGACAAGCACGCATCAATTGCCTCAACATATTGGGCACGGTGGGCGTCTTTCCCAGTTTGGAAATGATGTTGCTCGCTATCTCCGTGTTGAAGTTGCCACGGAGCTTTCTTCGGTCTTGGTTGTGTTGGATCGCCTGCAAAGTTGATAGCCTTGCTTGAAACAACTACTTGGTCGTAAAACAAAGAGAAGTTGTCTTGTTGACGCTGCAAGTTTGTCTTCGAGGCATTTACTCAAGTAACAGTTGACAAACGAAGACAATCCAATCGAGAAACGCGATTTTTGATCCATCGGTGTAATCAAAATCAAAAACTAAGCTATAGCTGATTTCGCATGATGCCGACAGACTTTGTTCTACTCTCGGGGCTACTTGTATCTAAGAAAAACTTCTTCAGTCCAATTTTACCTAAAACAAGGGCATTTCTATACCATGAAAAAGGGCACTTTCTTTCGAGAAAAAGAGCATATTTTTCCCTGTTGCAAAAAGTGGGGGGTTGCCCTTGCCCCCAATGCCCCCCGGCTCCAAGGCCCCTGAACAAGTCATTTACCAATGTTGATTTAGTTCCTTGTAAAAATGTTCTATTACATTCTTTTTCTACAAATGATGGCAATAACATGTCTTTGCTTCTTACCAAGTTGTCAAAGGATCAAGTAGCATACATGCAGACACTTTACCATCATCAATGACTACCAGAAAGGTTTTAATAAGTTCTATCAAACATGTTTTATCATCCCAAGGTCCAAAAAATGACTTTATGATCCATATGTCAACAATAACATTGAGAAGATTAACAACCATCACATTTTAAATAATGTAGCCATTAGAAATATTACACAAACAGAGTCTAGAAACACTTCTGTGTTTAATTCCAACTATGCTTACAGTTTATACAAAAAATATCAAATTGAAATTTCAAATTATAAGTTATATAAGTACAATTGGTACAAGTACCATTAGCAACAAAGTTTATCATTATTTCTTCCCCAGAGGTTCTCAAACCTCGCGCTTCTATGGCTTACCTAATCTTCACAAGAAACAAGAACAAGAACAATCGCCTCCACTACGACTGATAGTTTCATCAATCAACGCATACAATTATAATTTAGCTAAGTATCTTAGTTCTCTACTAACACCACTCATACCAGATGACCACTCCACTAAAGATTCTTTCACTTTCCTCGACGACTTCTCATCTTTCAACTCATCAACTTCTTGTCACAAATTCTTCATCTCTTACAACGTTGAAAGCCAATTTACTAACATACCACTTACGGAAACCATCAACATAGCAATCGACTTAATATTCACTCACAACCCCAGGTTCAGTATAAACATGATACACCTCAAACAACTGTTTTTAATAGCAACAGCACAGACGCATTTCTTATTTAATGGAAAATTTTACAACCAGACGGACGGTGTTGTGATGGGCTCACCCTTAGCACCCTTACTTGCTAACATTTTCATGGGCTCGCTGCTCACATAAACGAAACTGGCTAAACAACTACAACGACACTAAGCCACTATTTTACCGCAGATACGTTGACGATATTTTTTTGTGTTTTTATTAACGAAACTGAGGCTATGAAGTTATATAATTACATTAACACAAAGCACGCAAACATTAAATTTTTATTTGAAACTGAACAACAAGATCAACCATGTCATTTCTTGACATTTTAGTTTTACACCACTTTCATACAAAACCGGACTTATACGCACACTAATCGACAGAGCATACAAACTTAACAATACGAACAATGGCTTTCAACGAGACATAAAAAACATCACATCCGCACTCTTACGAAACTCTTTCCCACTTCATATTATTAACAGAACCGTAAAGCGATATCTCGACAACAAACAAAGCAACGACCTCAAACTAGACACCAAAACTCCTGACACGACGATCACAACCAACACAAATGAAAATTCCAAAATAACAACTCCATACTTCAAACTACCATATATCGCACATTACTCACGACACACACAACGCAGACTTACAAACATTATCAAACGCTTCTGTAAAGATATTGACATTCGACTAATTTTTACATCATTCAAAATCAAAAACCTTTTCTCATTTAAAGACCCAATCCCTGATTCAATTGAATCTATGGTGGTATATGAATTCAATTGCGCGAGATGTAATTTCCGATACTTGGCGAAACTTCGCGCTATTTATCCACCAGAATCAGGGAACATACCACAAAAGACAGAAACTCTCATATCTACCGACACCTTCTTAAATCTCACTCATATAAAACTAACTATTCACCCTCTTGCTTCAAAATGATCGACACTGCCGACACTTCATTCACCCTAAAATCAAAAAGCACTCCACATTAACAAAACTAACCCTGACCTCAATGTTGAATTTTTTAAATTCAATACAATATTTAGTTTATAATACGCTTGGACGCTCCTCATTAATTTATCTTATTTCCTTTTTATTGTTGTAATTTATGGATCATATTGCCTTTATATAAACCCTGTATCACCTATTATTTCACTCATATAAAAGTTTCGCAACCTGCATTGTAAAATATAAGTCTGATGATGTCTTTGGAATAAAGACGAAATATTACACCATCTTTTGTTTAAAACTCTTGTAATATCTTGAATATCAAGAAAATGAGATGTCCCTCTTCGAAATTTGTTTTTATTTGTATTATTTGAAATTATCTGCTCTTCCTGGTTGTTAGAAGCTATATACAGTCTATTATCAGATCAGTGATTGAAACACGAGTTGACGAATTGAAACACGAGTCGACAAATAGAACTCGGCTTTGCACGAGTCAAAGAATAAAAAATCGTGGCGAAGATATGAAACGCCTTTAAGATTTGTTATTTAAATTTGTCCCCTTTGTATGGAGTTAATTTATTAACTCCATACGTAATTTCACGCATAATATTCATTGGGACAAAAAGGATCTTAGTCTATAAGTGCAGGTTACAGTTACCGCATGCTAACCAGAACGGAAGCTTAATCATTATATAGCTTTGGTTATATCTGCTAACCTGAAGTAAAATTAAAGTAGATGGTGAGGACCCGGCAAAGAAGTGAGTTTGTGTGTTTACGTTTGGTATACTGCTTAACAGAGCACATATGTTATTCATAGTCTATCATTATTACTAGATCGAATAAAAACTATTTACATATAATTTTTACGATTCCGACTCACGTATATATCGGACTGCTTATCTGAGAATCGAATAAGGACATGCAAGTATAAAGCTATCACTGACAACAACTACATACACTGATACTGTTGACATCTGTTGAATTAAACAAGTAAACAACGTTAGATGAAAACAGCCAATACTGGGGTCAATCTAAACTTCTGAATTTGACTCTCAATTGTCCTACAAGTCGAGTCAACAATCAATTTGTTTCCTTTCGAGCGTTGTTCATATGTCCGTAAACAACTCGAGCATTCGCCTGCTTGTTTTGAAGTCAACGCAGCAATTTTCTCCAAACGGAAATTTTGAGCGAATGCGAAATATGGCTTTCGTCAACTCTTGTTTCATTCTGTTGCGCTGTTTACTCTGGATTGATGCTAACAGCGAAAATGTCCTCTCTATCACAGCATTGCTTACGGGAGCAGTGACTCAGTTTAAAGCATACGTTGATAACTGCTCAAATGGCTTGTCTCTGAGTGAAGTTTGAAAGTCGACGATGCATGACCAAAACGCAGCCGCTGTATCTGGAATAGTTCCATCAAAGGTTGAATCTTCTTTCCAGTCACGGTGAACGATCTTCAGGTACTGGTCTTCTATCACGTTGAGTTTCTCATATCGTAGATGTGGAAGTGGCAGCTGACAAAATGGAGCTCTGGTTGCTTCATCCAATACTTTTCTTGGATGAAGGACGCTTAATCCTTTGAATACGTTTTTCTGGCAGGTATCATTGGCGGATCTAGGCCATGGCAAAAGTGGCTTGAGCCACGGTCAGAATTCTGCAACTTAAGTTTTTCCAGGGTTGACTTTTTCATCATTAAAAATTTTGCTCAAATACAGGAAAATTCGATCAAAAGCAAAAATTGATGAATTTTGTAATTTTTTGTCAAAAATTTGTGTTAACAGAACAAAGACTTCAAATTAAACGTATTGTTAAAATAGTATAATCATCCAGTTAAACTCTGAACTGTAAAATCACCGAAAGCGTCTCGAATCTTGCCGAATACGCCATGAATATGCTCGGAATATGTGGAATATGTTCGTAAATTCGAACCTGCAATCTCAGAGTTAAATGCCACGGTCAGCGTTCAAAAAATTTCGCAATAGTTGCTAAATATAGTAACCTTTAGCCACGGTGTATCGTTACAAGCCAATCACAGGGAACGTTTTGGTCATGTGCGCCAAGGTGAGCCACGGTGAATGTATTTTGATTGCGCAATAAATACAAGTCATATGTAATAGCTCGATTCTTGTCGACTAGAAAAAACGCTACTTCTAGTTCTACTTAGTGATTAGGATTAATGGAAACTTCTAAAAAGATCGACTCTCTTAAAAAGCTCGTCAAAATCTTTCAGCAAGAGAACGCTTGCGAAATTATTTCTGGTGGATTGTCTACCTTGAGACAACACTATGGTAAAGTAATTAACGAGGAAAGGCTTCGTCGTAGAAATTCTAATGGCGATATAGTGCTACGAACTTGTTCATTTTCAAAACTGCTGTTCCCTGAAAGCCAAATTGAAAGATCAGGATCCAATGTCCCTGTTAGGTACGAATTTACATGTATTGGGGTATTAATTAATATTTTTATTTCCGTTTGACATCTTTGCCTGAAATATATGATCAATCCGTTAATTTTCAGCTATTCATATTTAGTGTATCATGTAAAATACATGTCTAAAGCTGTCATTATTTTGCATACTCAGTCTGTCTAATGTACGGCCTAAATAATTTTAATTGTTACTGTCTGTTAAAAAATGTTTTGCTTCAATATTAGTCAAAGCTAGTCATTTTTAAAATTTAACCCAATCAATAATGTATTATCCTTGTATTCCTCGCATTTTATGATATCCCCTGGTTAAAGAAACTAACATATCATTTTGAATAACGGTTACTTTCTTTCGCGATTTATATAGAATATTGATGCAATAGTAGATAGAATCAATAAGTCGTCTGAATCCTGTTTGACATGCTAAGACTAGTTCCAAATCTTAGACTACCTGCCTGTGACTTTGACTCTATCATGATGTTACCAAATTAACACAAATAGAAAATAACTTTCTCAAATTTCAATATTATTAGTCTATCTTTAACAGTATTGGTTACCCTTATTTATTCTAATGTCAGAGTCAGTCTAGCAGATTTGTTTCCAGGTATAACTTGGTTTAACAAAACAGCCATTGATACTTAAATACTAATTTTTCTTTTAGTACTTTAGCCAATGGGAATTGTCTGTTCAATGCATGTTCTATTGCATTAGTTGAGAATGAGACTCTCTCTATTTACTTCAGATTCCTAACTAGTGTTGAAATGTTTGAGAATGCAAAATACTATTCTACCCATCCTCTCATCGAGTCCCAGCATAAAAGTGGTGCGTTCACTTCACTTAAAAATGCCTTTGCCATGTGTATATCCGATGCATCTCTAACCTCTTTAGAAAATGCAAAAGAAATTGCAGCAGTTTTACGAGAAGCAGTGGAAAGAGCGAATAAATACACCTTTTCACCCTTGATGTGTATGTTTGCTTTGTCTACTGTAATCCAGTGTGCTATTCAGTCATACTATCCAATTACTAATGATGCTGAAGTGAGAGGAAATTAGGATTCGTTGGCTAAAATGTTCAATTGTACAATATATCCAAGAAATTTTGTTGATGGGAGTGCAATTCACTATGTCCATGTCTTTCGTTGTGCTGCGTTGCCACCTTCTTATTTGGTAGATCAAAAAATTCCATCCACCAAAAGTCATTTTGTTACTTTGTTTTTAGAGAACCACCTTTGAACATTGCTTTTTTTAATCTTGCCATCTTTACATTTGTTGGATAAACATCTTTGTCGTTGTTGGAAGAAGATCCCCTTTGAGCATTGCTTTTTTTAATCTTGCCATCTTTACCATTGTTGGATAAACATCTTTGTCATTGTTGGAAGAAGATCAACTTTGAACATTGCTTTTATTAATCTTGCAATCTTTACGACTGTTGGATAAACATCTTTGCTGTTGTTGGAAGAAGACCACCTTTCAACATTGCTTTTCATAGTCTTGCCATCTTTACGGCTGTTACAAAAGGCATCCTTGCTGCTTTTCGAAAAAGACCATTTGATGGTGCAACAAAGATGGGAAATTATTTTTATGTAGTGAACTGTCTTTTGGTTATTCACTGCAAAAATAACATGCTTCATCTTTTTCTCACTCCTGCGGCAACAACCCTGTGATTACAGAAAGGTACGGAAACTGCGTTAATTTTACATCAGACACCACAAGGTAAGTAAAATTTTTATTCTTCCATCCGAACAGAATTAAAAAAAATGACGATATTAGAAATTTTTTTAGATGAGATTATAACGAAAATATTGTTATATTCTACCATAAAAATGCCGGAATTCGCTTTTCCAAAATCTAGATTTTAAAATTTTCTGGGAGAGGATGAGATCAGACCCCTAGCGTTAACTCGCGCCGAAGGCGCTCGCTACGGCACAGGGTCACGGTCAGCCCAGAAGCTGGATCCCCCACTGGGTAGACGCATTTCAACTTAATTTAAAGCTTTGATAAGAAAATCTCAGCATCGTTTTTCAAATCAAAAACTTTAGCCTGAGCAACGACCTTGTTCTTTTGAGAAGAGACATATTTTGTTGCTTCACACAAGAACTTCCCGCCAAAATCTACTTTTTCAATGGCGAGTTGCTAGTAGTTAAGATGCAGCTTTGTCACACTTTTGTCACGGAGCTCTTACCTGTGCCAGTTCGTTTCCAGCCCTCTAAGTTGATCGGTGCGCGCTCATCTCTACCGGAAACAGACTCAGGCGGAAGTCGAGTGTAATAGGCTAATATGATAAACGGGAAATAAAACAGATGTAAATTAGAAGGATGCCATTTTTCCATATTGGATTGTTCCAGTATCGGTAATTCCGTTTCCTTTCTCAATCCATGGTACAGCAACAGATAACAAGTCGATTGCATTTCATAGCTTACTCTTTATTGAAAGGCTTACATTTTATCTCTTAAAAAATAAATGCCATTGAAAGTAGACATTGGTCTCGGTTTAAAAATGTCGGCTTTGAACTTAGAAGAAAATGAAATAAGTAAACTTTTTGACTTAGAAGAAGAAAATGAAATAAGTCAACGTCAAAGCTTTCTGCAAAAAAAATATAAGACTGCTACGCCGATGAAATTGCTGCAATGATACATGCCGCAGTGAACAAGAATTGATATGGGTGTGCTATCCAACATCCCTCCTAACGCAAACATGATTGTTTGATGATGGAACCTGATGAACGTGCGATGTTGTATTTCTATGATGCCCTGGAAAGTGTGTCTGAGGAGACTGTTATGAAAGATTTTATGAAAAGCATTGAAGAGGTCGACCCACCCGTTAATGGACTTGAGATACTAAAATATACTTGTAAAAATTGGCTTAAAATATTTGTTTCAGATAAATGAACAAGTTTAAAAAACGAGTAATTCAACTTTTGTAAATGTTTATTTATACTTTTACATTACAAAAATATGGTATCATAGTCAAAACTGTACAACGAACATGACGCCATCGGTACACAGTTTTCTGAATGAATGAAATAAGAACCACTATATAAAATTGCTGCTTCCATATGACAGTTTATACCTCAAACATATATTTAAATTTATATAATATCACACAGTAAGGTATAAACGCACCCATGAATTACAAACTTACATCAAAAATCGGCGAACAGCTACATCGACATCATAGTCCGATACACTACATGAATGAAGAGTAAAAATCAATGATATGAAACGCAACCTGAGATTAAAATTTCTTTAATGGCATACAAACCCACAAATTTTACATTTGAATTTTCCCCGTGACTCTATTAACGGGGACAGATGTACATTTAGCCGTGGTATAGAAATCACGATAGTGATTACATTTTTCTGAAAATGAGGAGATAGATTCTGTTAAAGATAAAAAACATTCGCTAATTTGAAATAAACAGGAAGAGCTCGCACTTGGGGTATTTGTTAGACTAACACTAAAATTGGGGTATTTGTTAGACATTGACTGTGACAATGCCATTCTTCCTGACTTTGCGACTTGCGTGTGTTGATTTTTGGCAGAGTTTTTATCGTCTTAACACATAGAAAACACTTTTATTGTTTCAAGTGGTTGAAGTACACAGCACATGCGCCTGAGTTGTGACCTTTGTTGCCATCTTGCAAATGTAAATTAAAAATTACTATTGAATAGTATCACCTTGAATAATGTGGCGTGGGTAAGATCTGTGCAGTATCCTACTGAGGGAAATGATGCAGTAAATGATAAGAACGCTCAGGAAAAATATCTAACAATTCAAATAAAGGAGCGGTATGAACATAAGTCAATATTAAAGGGAAATGAAAAGAGCCTTTATCATACCAACCGACATGATACAGTAAATGATAAGGACCCCACGAAAGATTCCTGACAATGTGAATAAAGTATCGGTTTTTAGCATGAGTCAATGTTAAAGGAAAATTAAAAAGAAAAACCATGTTGTGAACATAAGATCCTATGGTGTGGGCTGTATCATACAGAGGAAAGTGATGCAGTTAATGAATGATGAGATCCCTCTGGAAAGATATCAAACAATGTACCGAAAAGGGATTACTGATTTGAACAAGCGTGAGTCTTACTCTTGAATGTGATTCTATTCAACTCTTTACTTACAGTAAGAAAATCACGCGTTGGTAAATGATTATTCATGTGAAGGCCAACACTTTAAAAAAGGTAGAAAATAATCATGTTGCACTTAAGCTTGAAAAGTGCTTCATAAACGAGTTAAGTCTGTGTTAAGAGAGCAAATAATTTAAACATCATGGTTTCGATTGAGAGATATCCATGTTTCTGTGGTGCAGGCCTCGAGAGAATCGTATGTAAGAGCGACGAACGTGCATATGTTAAATGTAGAGGTGAAGGATGCACATTGTTCTGCCACGAAGAAAGGTACCATATTATAATCGATGCCTACGAAACGAAAGTCGTGAAGGAATTCAAACCTAACAAGTTCCCCCTGTGCGAATACGTTTATCATTTAGTCTCATTGTCTCCCAATCGAGCAGTAATCCTGAAAGGCCATATTTTCGATGTCAATCTATCGCCCACAAAGAAAAATTTAACTTTTTCCATTAGGAGGACGTAACTTTGAATAGCAAGATCATTAAGAAAATAAGAAAGGTTGAACTGAATGATCATAAGAGGAAAGAAACTAAGGAAAAGGTGCCTAAAACGGTCGTCGAAACTGAAAACAAGGACCAACCCTTTCCAGGACGATGAATAAACACGAAACGTTAAGCAATAATAAAAATATAAAAATATAACATTGCATGCATGAACGGATGATCACTGTATCTAACTATAAAAAATTAACGCAATAAATTTTTGGAATGTATCGCTGTGAGTGTTTCTTCATTACACACAATACCTTCCTGAACATCTGAAGATGCTATTTGATTTCAAATTATTCAATTACTCTGTAAGAGTTCAATGAACATATGCTATAAAATGAAGCATAATTTCACAAATTGCCATTAGTGCATAAAAAACATCGCCAGATGATCCTGGGGAGGGAGGGACCGACTATTTAGAGCGTTTACGTGTTCGAGTCATCAGAAAAAATGTAAAGGTGAAACGTTTGCTAAAAAAAGTTCAGAAAGAAATGTCTAAAGATAAAACGGATTTGTCAAAAGTGTTAAAATGGGTAAAAAAATCAATGAAGTTGTTGCAGCAAAGTGTTGACCTTGTGAAAGTAAGAAACAACATAAAAAATCAAACTAAAAATGATAAAAAATCTGTTAGCTTTGTGCTTGAAAGGAGTTTCGGAACGATATGTTCGTAAATTTGATGCCAAGTCGTGTATATTCCGTGCTAAGTTAGACGATCTATCCTTTCGCGATAAGCAAATAAAAGTCAAAGACATAATGACTGAGCTCGATGGCTTATTTGACGACGCTATTCGTCAGGTGAGAGTCAAAAAAGCGCTGTGTGACACAAAGCATCCTTTTAATTTTTATGTTAATGATCCCAGGTAAAAGAACAGTGTGATTTTTGAACACTATTGGAAGATCGTCTTCGTGTAATGATTACATCGAATGCTTTGAAAACACCAATCGGCACTAAGCTTCTTCCTGCCGCTGAAATTAACTCTAACAAAATTTTAGATGAAATTACAAAAACTTTGCAGAGTAATGAGAATATTCATTTAGACAACTCGTTTATCATCGCCCTTATTGGAATAAAAGCGCCTGTTGGGAGTGGTAAGTCCTTGAAAGTCTTAGATTATTCTCAAGACAGTACTTTAAAAAAATCGATTGTAACTATCAAGAATAATGATAACCTATGCTGTGCTCCGGCTTTATTTGTAGCCATAGGGATGGCTGACCACCACCCTAAATTAAAACAAATGCAGATGAGTAGGCCTATACAGAAAAAAAATTACCCTTAAAATTGCATAAACGTGCCAATATTTCAAGGTGTTCTTTCAGACTATCAAATTATTGTAATAGACTTTGATGCACGAAACACTTCAATTTATGAGGGGCTAGAGGAGTAAAAAAGCTAATGCTGTACAAACACGGAGATCATCTCAATGTTATTAATCCGGCAAAGCTCCCAGCTTTTTTCGGTAAAACATTTTACTGTGATTAGTGTTCAAGCTTTGTAACCACCCATGTTTTGATGTCTGCAGCACATGTTTAGGCAAAGGATGTGCATTAATTCCGACGGAACAGTGAATGCTCGGACTGTTACAAGCTCTGCCATTCAAATGAATGTTTTCACCTTCATAAAGAACAGCGCATGTTAAAAGGACTTCATCTCCCTCAAAATGTGACAAATCGTGCAAATGTCGTACATGCAGTGTCACTGTTGACCAAAATCGGCAAAATAATCACAAGTGTGGAGAGTTCAAATGTCATATCCGTAAGCAGTTTGTTGTCGGCAGTCACTTATGCTTCACTCAACCTGAACCACCAAAAAAGCAAAATGTAAAACTATTTTTTTACGATTTTGAAACGGATTTTACAAGCGGAGAGCATGTTGTGAACTTTGCTGTTTTACAGTTCGCTTCTAGCAAAGAACGTCTTTTTAAAGGATGTCTTGCATTAAATGATATTTGCGAGTTTTTATTTTCAAGAAAGAATGTAGGCTATACTGCAATTGCGCATAATGCAAAAGGATGTGACGCTGTTATGATTCAAAAATGGCTCGTAAAATATCGACCGACAGCCGATGTGCATGTCATTCATTTGGGTCAGAAAGTAATGCAATGATATTTAAAGGATTATCAGATGACGCTAATCGACTCGTTAAACTTCCTAAGTATGCCTCTTTCCAATTTGCCTCGAACGTTTAGATTGAATCTGTCGATGTATTCGAAAGGCGATTTCCCTTTTAAATTTAACAAACGAGAAAATCAGAAATACGTTGGACCTATTCCGGCTCTTGAATATTATAGCCCCGACACAAAGCCAAAATGTAAAAGAGATGAGCTAATTGCATGGCATCAGAATTTAATTGATGAGGGATACGTTTTCGACTTTCAAAAAGAAATGTGCAAATACTGTTCTCAAGATGTAACTAATTTGCGTTTGTGTTGCATGGATTCAGAAAGTTGTTTTTAGCCGAAGCACGTGTAGACGCATTTTGTTATTGTACAATTGCGTCTTCGGTCATGGCAGTGTTTCGTTCAAACTATATAAAAGAAAAAACCATTGGCATTGTACCTAAGAATATGTATAGTGATAGCAATAAACCGTATTCAATCAGTGGCATTGAGTGGCTGGAGTTTGTTTCCTTTCAAACAAAAAGCCCTATCAAACACGCTCTTCATCATGAGGTGGAGTTATGAAAGTTATTTATAATCCGTTGTTAAATAAACATTTTTATGTCGACAGATTTTGTGAAGACACAAACACCTTGTATGAGTTATACGGAAAATTTATCACGGCTGCCCTTTATGCCTGGATTTGTAGAGTGAAAATCCTTACCGTACAGTTACAATGTTGGAAATTGAATGCTTTTTTTTATAAGCTCTGTTGAATGATATACTTTCAACAAGACCGAAAACAAACGATTTAGGCACTAAACCATTGAAAAGGTTATCTTTTTGCAGCGAAGGGTTTCCAGAAGGAATGATAAAACTTTTACAGTCGACACGTCTTACTGGGTAAATGGCTGGACCTTTTTTCAGGGCAACTTCGTGAGCCAGAGATATACTAGGACTCACTTTGACTTTACGAATTTAAGGTATGCATCTATCAGTTTCACTCTAAAGGCTGCACCATCCACCGATGATATTAAGACAAATTCGTCACTGGTACGGTTCATGACCAACTTCAAATCAACATAGCTAAGTAAGAGATGTTCACCAAAGAAAACATCACAAAAGATAGGACCTGCCATATGAACAATTTTACTTCCAATGATAAACTTATTTCTTGTCTTCAAACACTTCTTTCGACTTTCGTGGGCAGGATCTGCGTTATCCATCTGACCTGCAGTATTTTTGTAAAATAACGCAGCGGTGAGCTGGGATTGTTTGGCTGACGGATCATAACTTAAAAGTGTGCCGAGATATGCACGATATGGATATGTTACTGTTGCTTGTGTAACTAACTTTCCTTTTAGAAACACGTCAACTTGCTTGAACATACTTTGCAAGAAGTTGTTTACAGGTCCAACTTTAGTGTCATCATCAATATCCTCACCATCGGCTTTTGTTACTTTCGCTCTAGCTACCAATGTTATCTTAGACATGTCAACATAATCTTCTGTGCCGGGCGATAAAAATGTAATTGGTCCATTTTCAGATACGCTAGACACAGGTTGATGATGAATCCAATGCCCCTTTTCTAAACTGACTTGTGTTGGTGGGACAGAAAATAAATCAAGTTCGGTTTTTGTACATTCTACAGATTTTGGATGAACAAAATCCATATTTAGCCGAAAATGTCCTCTGCTTCTTAAGATGAATTACGTCTCTTGGCTGAACTGTGAATGGCAATGGAAGTCTTCGCCTTTCTCTTTTTAGCTGGTTTTCTTGTCCGTTTCTTTGAAGACTTTCCTCTTCCTGTTTGAGGCAACTGCTGCATTCTGTTTACAGCCATTTTCCCCACATCTTTAGCAGCCTGATTTACTCGCGATTTTGCATACTCTATTACACATTTCCCGGAGATAACATCACCTAAAACGTTTTCTCCTGTGTTAAGAGCAATTTTACCAAGAGCTTTTGCACCGCTTTTTGCCAGAGGTATTACAGCTCTAGCTAAACTGCGAAATAAGCCACCAAGACCATAAGCCACTTGCCCATATCCTCTTTGCCAATGTGCTCTTTCAAACACCAGTGATATCCTTGTTGTTGGTTGAGATAATATTGCTTAGCGATTTGTTAGAGTCATATTTCTTATGTATAATAAGACGAAGCTTGCTTTCTGAGATGAAGTGTCACTATCGACTTCCCTCGTTCGAATGCAATGGGGTTTCCTAACTCGTCCCTTAAGAGAATTTCCATGTCCTCAGAAGATTTTGTTTGCACGGGTAAGTATTGGATATTAGTGAATGTTCTTGAAACAATGTCTCCATACTTTCCTTGAATAGCAACTGCCTTTAGTAATTTTACATTGACGTCTCCAACAACTTGCGGTTGTACAAGGTTGCAATATACATACATCATGACGGATCCGTGCAAATCAGAAGCACAAGGGCTTTTGGTTGTTTTTGTAGTCTCTACTTCTTTTCCTCCAAAGCCGAGTAAGATTGATATTTGTTAATTAAATAATATTTCCATAATTTCGTAAAAGCACTATTGCCAATGCACATTTAATATAAACGACAACTTTTTTGAAAATAGACATGTTTCAACATCTCATGATGTCATCTTCAGTACGAGTAAAATAATAGGTGATACAAAGTTTATTTAAAGGTAATATGATACATAAATTACAACAATAAAAAGGAAATAAGATAAATTACTGAGGAGCGTCCGAGCGTATTATAAACTAAATATTGTATTGAATTCAAAAACTTGAACATTGAGGTCAGGGTTAGTTTTGTTAACGTGGAGTGCTTCTTTGATTTTAAGGGTGAATGAGGTGTCGGCAGTGTGTCGATGATTTTGAAACAAGAGGGTGAATAGTTGGTTTTATATGAGTGAGATTTGAGAAGGTGTCGGTAGATATGCTAGTTTTTGTCTGTTGTGGTATGTTCCCTGATTCTGGAGGATAAATGGCGCAAAGTTTCGCCAATGTATCGGGAAGTACATCCCGCGCAATTGAATTCATATACCACCATACATTTAATTGAATCAGGGATTGGGTATTTGAATGAGAAAAGGTTTTTGATATTGAATGATGTGAAAATTAGTCAAATGTCAATATCTGTACAGAAGCGCTTTATAATGTTTGTAAGTCTGCGTTGTGTGTGTCGTGAGTAATGTCCGATGTGTGGTAGTTTAAAATATAGAGTTGTTATTTTGGAATTTTCATTTGTGTTGGTTGTGATCGTCGTGTCAGGAGTTTTGGTGTCTATTTTGAGGTTGCTACTTTGTTTGTTGTCGAGATATCGCTTTACGTTTCTGTTAATATTGTGAAGTGGGAAAGAGTTTCGTAAAAGAGTGGATGTGATGTTTTTTATGTCTCATTGAAAGCCATTGTTTGTATTGTTAAGTTTGTATGCTCTGTCGATTAGTGTGCGTATAAGTCCGGTTTTGTATAAAAGTGGTGTAAAACTAAAATAGTTCGTCAAAAGTCCTGTGTATGTTGATTTGTGGTATGTAGATGTTGTACAGCTGTCTTAAGATTTTGTTACTAAAGTGTCAAAAAATGGCAGTTGATCCCAATGTTCAGTTTCAAATAAAGATCTAATGTTTGCGTGCTGTGTGTAAATGTAATTATAAAACTTCATGCCCTCAGTTTCGTTAGTAAAAATACAAAAAATATCGTCAACGTATCTGCGGTAAAACAGTGGTTTAGTGTCGTTGTAGTTGTTTAGCCAGTTTCGTTCATGCGAGCCTATGAAAATATTAGCAAGTGTGGGTGCTAAGGGAGAGTCCATCACAACACCGTCCGTCTGGTCGTGAAATTTTCCATTAAATAAGAAACACGTCTGAGCTGTTTCTATTAAAAACAGTTGTGTGAGGTCTGTCCTGTTTATACTGAACCTAGGGTTGTGAGTAAAGTCGATTGCTAGGTTGATGTTTTCAGTAAGTGGTATGTTAGTAACTAGGCTTTTAACGTCGTAAGAGATGAAGAATTTGTGACAAGAAGTTGATGAGTTAAAAGATGAGAAATCGTCGAGGAAAGTGAAAGAATCTTTAGTGTAGTGGTCATCTGGTATAAGTGGTGTTAGTATTGAACTAAGATACTTAGCTAAATTAGAATAGTACGCGTTGATTGATCGGTCGTAGTGGAGGCGAATGTTCGGTTCCACTATTTTACCGCAGATACGTTGACAATATTTTTTGTGTTTTTACTAACGAAACTGAGGCCATGGAGATTTATAATTACATTAACACACAGCACGCAAGCATTAGATTTTCATTTGAAACTGAACAATAAGATCAACTGCCATTTCTTAACATTTTACTAACAAAATCTCAGGACAGCTGTACAACATCTACATACCACAAACCGACATACACAGCACTTTTACGAAACTCTTTCCCACTTCATTTTATTAACAGAACCGTAAAACAATATCTCGAGAACAAACAAAGCAACAACCTCAAAGTAGACACCGGAACTCCTGACACGACGATTACAACCAACATAAATGAAAATTCCAAAATAACAGCTCTATACTTAAAACTACCATACATCGGACATTACTCACGACACACACAACTTAGACTTACAAGCATTATGAAACGCTTTTGTTCAAATATTCACATTCGACTAATTTTCACATCATTCAAAATCAAAAACCTTTTCTCATTTAAAGACCCAATCCCTGATTCAAATAAATCTATGTTGGTATATGAATTCAATTGCACGGGATGTACTTCCTGATACATTGGCGAAACTTCGCGCCATTTATCCTCCAGAATCAGGGAACATACCACAACAGACAAAAACTCTCATATCTACCGACACCTTCTTAAATCTCACTCATGTAAAACCAACTATTCACCCTCTTGTTTCAAAATCATCGACACTGCTGACACCTTATTCACTCTTAAGCCCGCCGCACACTAGCGTCCTTGCCGCGCGTACTTGTTATTCGTGACAAGTGCGATCGACAAAAGTTCCTAGTGTGCGCGGAAGTTTTGAACAACATTTGTCATTCGTGACAGATGAGTCAAATATCAAACGCGTTTAACGAATAACAAGTACGCGCGGCAAGTTTACCAGTGTGCGGCGGGCTTAAAAATCAAAGAAGCACTCCACATTAACAAAACTAACCCTGACTTTAATGTTCAAGTTTATAAATTCAATACAATATTTAGTTTACAGTACGATCGGACGCTCGTTATTAATTTATCTTATTTCCTTTTTATTGTTGTAATTTATGTATCATATTGCTTTTATATAAACCTTGTGTCACCTATTATTTCACTCATACTGACGATGGCATCATGACATGTCAAAATATGTCTATTTTAAAAAAGTTGTCGTTTAGATTAAATAATACTTTGTAACCTTGTTTTACAAGGACTTTATTTTTTTCTGTACGGGGGTCAAAGCCCAATTGAATATTGTCGTTTGTTTTGTTGTCAAGAGTCTCATCAATTGCTTTTATAACGTCGAACGCTTTTTCATACAAGCCATAGTAGAAGCGGAATAGGAAGACTTGATTTGTAAGTTAAAAATATATGTGTATCCAAACCTTTTTTCAACATATACTATGTCTTAGGATATGTAATTGAATTCAATCCTACTTCCCAATTACCATTTAAATTCACAACGTGAGGTAATTTTACGCGATAACCCGAAATCTTATTCTCGGGAAATACAGAGAGAGATGCATTACTAGGTAGTTTCAAATAGAAGTGTGTTCCGCTCAACTTTAAGGTATAATGTGCAATGAAAAAATTATGAAAACGGTTACGTTTTATATATGTATTTCCGATGCCGGTACCCATGAATTAAATTTGTTAG